AAAATATATGTATGCCATCATGCTTATTGGGATCTCTCTGTAAGTGGCAGCCAATTAAAATAGTCATTATTTTACCTCGGAGAGAAAATGGTGCGAAAAATCAAGCACGCAAAATTAAAAATCCAGATTAGGAACCTCGGTCCAAATTGGTTTGTTCGTGGCCTTCTAACCTTGGCAACGTCTTCTGCAAGGATGACAGACCTACTTTGTCTTCAGCCCAGACTGGACTCTTTGTTTTTAATTTCCTCTCCATCTTCAGAGGTGATTAATAAATCTGGACTCATCCATAAATCATTTCTATAGTGGCCAAATGGTTCTTCTTCATGCAAGGAAACTAAAATCACACAATCTCAAAAGCCCCAGCTCTCACGCTAAGCCAAAGGTCCTTAGCAACAAGCGAAGGGGAGGTATTAAAAATCAAGAGGTCAATAGGTCTTGTTTCTAAATAAAATTTCCCAGAGGGCTTCCCCAACCCCCTGAAATCAAAAGACACCTTCTGAACGCAAGAGGCCTCCAAGGCATGGGTTGCCAGCCTGGCTCACTGTCCCCAAATGGCCTTAGAGACAACAAGCGAGTCACTGTCTCCTATTCCTGTAGGTTTCACATGCAGAATGAGACAGGCCTTCTCCTTAGGCTCCCATCCCTGACTCCTCACTCTTAGTTCTCCATTCATAGACAGGGAGAGAGAAACATTATCTCCTCAAACTTCCAAACAAGGTGTCCTTACTTCTCTCCCAGGGGCATATGCACTTCAATTTGTCACTTCCTTCTCACGGACCCTCTTCTGCTCCCCACTCATACCCTGACAGACACCCCTACCCCTGCTACCCATCACTTCCTGGTAGACTCCAATCTGCCCCCATATTTTCCCCACATCTGTCCATTTTCTCCATCCTCTCCCCACAGGAACTCCTTTCCCCCATCTCCTTCCTATGAAATCCTCTGCCTTCATCTTCTCCCTACTTGCTTCATCCCTACCCACAGCCCCCACTCTTCTTCTCCCCAGACTCACTTCTGCCTCCAACCCCGCTCCAAGGACCTTCATCATCTCTCATCCTCTCTCCACAACATGTAACTGGCGAGGTCAACCACACTCTCCTCGCCCCTTCACTGCTCTATGCTTCATCTTCCTTGACCCATTTCCCAGCCTTCCTTCCCTTCCCAACCTTTTTACTCTGCTCTTGAAAACCCTTCTTCCCAATCAGCTAAGTCTCCTCCATTCTCAGCCTCTCCAGTCACCCGCCCACCTCCAGCCTGCATCCAAAGCTGGCTCTACCCCAGGGCTCTCCTTCTGCAAGGCCCTCCTGGTAGAAGCTGTTTAGACTCTTACACCCCCAGGATTTCACGGTTAGGAGGGGGCCTCATGTCTCCTTGCCAAAGCCCAACTCAGTTCCTTATTCCACCTCCTTCTTGTAAAAGCCCTTACTACTTCAAGGGTCATACCATTTAGCTGTCTCAGCCTTTGCCCCTCCTCATGCTGTCACCTAGAGACTCCAGAAAAACTTGCTCTACCCATCAAAGACTGGTACCTAGCTCACAGGCATCCTCTTCCCTTCCCTCCCCTCAAGTCTTCCTATCATCCAGGGGGAGTTCAGTGGCCACGTCAGCATCCTGAGTGTCTCCTGTACTCCACTTTGGCCCCTGACTCCCACGGCCACACCCTGGACCTTGTCATCACCGGAAACTACTCAAACTTCATTCTTCCACTTTCTGATCACAACTTTCTCATTCAATAATCTCAGATACGGATTCTCTGACTTCACTGGGACCTCTAGTCCATACATTCTTTTTCACTCTCCTATCCAGTTTAGATACTAAGGTCCTTCATTTCAATCACTGTTTTGCCACAATCTTCAACTTCCTTGTCCTTTGTCCTTCCATCTATCCGCCCGGTAAAACTCAAACCTAGATCAATTAAACTAATCTCTCTGTACCCACCACTAGGTGGCTGAATGTTGTTGAGGGAAAAATGCATATTACACAACCTTGCAGACCGCTGCTCTTGAAAATTGACGGTCACTAACCTCAACAGGGCCATCATAACTGCCCAGAAATCTGTTTGCTACCTTAGTCATCTCACTGCCACTCTCCACTGCTGATATTTCAATCTTTCTCTGCTCTTTTCAATCTCGCACACTATCTGCAATCCCACTCTCACTGGCTGATATCATGTTCTTATATGACAGAGAAAATGGAAACCATCAAAGAAGAATTCCCTCAACTTCCTGTCACTAAACCTACCAATTAACCTCAACATAATGCTTCCTTTCTGCCACAAAACAAATATTCCTCCACCCTTCTAAGTGAATTTCTTCACCAACACTTTGGTGAAGCCTTTTTTTCAGGGGCACCATTCTCAGTTATCTTCTTTCCCTTATAATTTTACCTTTTCCCCTCTTTGCTGGATCTATACCAACGTTTCTCCCATCCAAATAAAAACCTGCGTTTCCTTCTGGCTATTGCCTTCTTTTTTCTTCTAAATAGCCAAGCTTTCTGAAAATGTATCTTACATGAATCTTCACTTCCTCAATCCCATCTGCTTCTCAAACCGCTGTAATTTGACCTCTGCTCCCATCACTCCACTGAAACTGTACTTGCAAAGGTCACCAACAACTTCCTTGTTTCTACATCCAGTGGATTCTTTCAGGCCTCATTTTACTTGATTAGTCATAAGCCTTCAACATTTTCCTTCCTTGGCTTCTGAAACACCACATTCTACTACTGATCTTCTTACCATTTTGGACACTTCATCTTGATTACCTTTGCAGGTTCCTCTTCCTTTGCCAGACCCTGAAAACTTGGGTGTTTCTCAGGGTTCTGTCCTAGGTCTCTTCCGACTCTACACTTACTCCCTGGGCAAGTTCAACAAATCTATTGGTGTGGCTGGCATCTATAAGGCCCCAAAGACTCCCACATTGCAACTTAGAGTTAGACTTATCTGGCGAACTCCAGTTAGGCATATCCAATGGCCTTCTGGATACCTCCACTTGGATGTTCCATTGGCACCTCAAGCTCACCATGCCCAGAGCTGACCCTCTCCTAAAAACCTTGCTTCCTCTCCTTCCTGTTTGCCCAAACCAGGAATCTAGAAGTCATCCTTCATCTCCCTTACTTCCCCATACCCAATCAGTAACCAAGTCCAGTTTTTTCTTGCTGTAGGTGTCTAAGGAATTCATTCTGCCCTTTCCATTTCAGCTGCCACTCCATGCTTTATGCTACCATAATCCTTCCCCACTACTGAAACAACCTCCTAACTGGTCTCCCTCCTTCTCCCAATCCCCAGTCCAGTTCTTGCACTAATCTTTTTTTTTTTTGAGAGGGAGTCTCGGTCTGTTGCCCAGGCTGGTGCGCAGTGGTGCGATTTTGGCTCACTGCAACCACCGCCTCCCGGATTCAAGCGATTCTCCTGCTTCAGCCTCCCGAGTAGCTGGGATTACAGGCACCCGCCACCATGTCCAGGTAATTTTTGTATTTTCAGTAGAGACGAGGGTTTGCCATGTTGGCCAGGCTGGTCTCAAACTCCTGACCTCAGGTGATCTGCCTGCCTTGGCCTCCCAAAGTGGTGGGATTGCAGGCATGAGCCACCTTGCCTGGCCCCCTGCACTAATCTTTCTAGACACAAATCTGATTGTTACTCCCCTGCTTAAAGCCCTACAATGACTCCCTGCTGTCTTAATGATAAAGTCTAAGCCCTTGTGCTCATGGGTGTAAAATGCATTGGAAAATTTTTACCATCAGCAAGATCTACCTGTAAGCACAAAGCTGAGCTTGGCATCAAAGACTCTCCAGGATCTGGGTCTATTTTTCCAAGGTTCCCCTCACATGAGTCTCTAGCCTGGCTAGGGTATGCTTCATGTAATTTCTGGCACATTCACCTCTTCGAGCTCCTGAAGGGAGTCTTTTTTTGTTTTTGAGATGGAGTCTCACTCTGTCACCCAGGCTGGAGTGCAGTGGCGCAATCTCGGCTCACTGCCACCTCTATCTCCTGGGTTCAAGCCATTCTCCTGCCTCAGCCTCCCAAGTAGCTGGTATTACAGGTGCCCACCACCATGCCTGGCTAATTTTTGTATTTTTAGTAGAGATGGAGTTTTGCCATGTTGGCCAGGCTGGTCTTGAACTCCTGACCTGAAGTGATCTGCCCACCTCAGCCTCCCAAAGCGCTGGGATTACAGGCGTGAGCCACCACACCGGACTCTTTGTTTTGTTTTTTGAGACAGGGTCTCACTCTGTCACCCAAGCAGGTGTGCAGTGGCACAATCATGGCTCACTGCAGCTTTGACCTCCCCGACTCAAGTGATCCTCCCACCTCAGCTTTCCAAGTAGCTGGGACTTCAGGCATGAGCTACCATGCCTGGCTAATTTAAAAAATTTTTATTTTGTAGAGATGAAGGTCTCACTATGTTGCCCAGGCTGGTCTTGAACTCCTTCAAACCATTCTCCTGTCTTGGGCTTCCAAAGTGCTGGGATTACGAGTTTGAGCCACCGCGCCTGGCATACAGAGTCTTTCCCCCTCCCTATCTCCAAAAGTCTTTCAAGACCCAGCTCAAGAGCCAATCACACTGCCAGAAATGCCCCTTCTCTGATTATGAGCTCCTCAAATCCTTACTCTTCTGTAGTATTTATCTCACATGCAGAATCAGAGTTGCTTCGTGCATGGTTTCTCTCCCTCTCCCGTTAAGACATGGGAGAGAGAGGGCCAAAGCTTGATCCTCACTAGGGCCTAAGGAACCTTATTTAGCCCACCCAGTCTCTGGCACATAGTATGTAAATATACTGGCACACAGTATGTAAATATAGATAAATGCAAGAAAGTTGCACTCCCAGCTCCTCGGTGGATCCTATCAACAGGGCATTCTCTGAAGTCATCAACTGAAGACTGCCTCCCACCCATCCATCCATCCATCCCTCCATCCATCCATCCATCCAGAATATGCCTCGACCCCACTGGGTGGAGGTTGGGTCGGCACGCGCCCCCTAGGCCGTTTTGTACGTTTTTCTACCTCCAGCCCTCGGAGCTGCGGCTGGTAGAGGATGGCAGAGGTAGCTAGACGATGCAAGTCAAAGGGCACACGCTTCCGCCGCGTAGGATAGGACTCTGTTCGGACGAGCGACCCTGCCCATTCCCAGAATACAGGAAGTCTCCAGCCTCCTCTCACCTACATAAGAGGGTGCGGACTTTTCCTGACCGGCGCCCCGGCTGACCAATACCTGATCCAGATCAAGCGAGTTAGCCAATGGCTGCGGGCCAGTAACAGGGGCGGGGCACGGTTGCTAGGGCCGAGCTAGTGGGGTGAGGCGAGAGGCTCTGGAAGAGACTTGGTGGTTGCTAAGGCGGGAGGTCACAGAGCGCGGCGCAGGGATTGGGCCGTGTCGGGGGAGGTGTGTGGTGATTGGGCGGCGCCCAGGAGGCGCCCGGGTGAGGCAAGGGTGCGCAAGCTAGAGTTCCGGCTGGAGGCCCGTGCTCGGGGCCGGCGCCTTCACCATGGCCTCGGCAGAGCTGGATTACACCATCGAGATCCCAGATCAACCCTGCTGGAGCCAGAGTATGGAATGAGGGTTGGGTCCGGGCGCGGGGAGGTGACCTCATGAATCCGTGGGTTGCGAGCGCAGCTGTAGCCCCGCCCCTCATGCGGCCCCGCCCTCCCGCGGGCCGCCCCCTCATAGGGTCCGGCAGGTCCTAGACTTAGAGAGGCTCAGAGAGCCCCGCCCCTCGTAAGCCCCGCCCCAGAGTGTTCCTCCCTGGCGAGCCCCGCCTCTGCCCCGAGTCAGCTGCTCGCCTGGGACCCCTTTTTTTTGTCTTTCCTGTCCGGAGTGCTCAGGTCCATACCCTTTAATCGCTTATCATAGCTGAAGGCTGCCGAAAGCTGGATCCCTCCTGATTCCTTTGTTTGGGATTGGGCTTCCCACATCTAGCCTTTCTTCGGCGGTTGTGGCTGGGGGTATCACTTATTATTTTCCCGAAGGCGTGGAAGGGGAGCCTCGCGGGGTCACCGGTCCTCGCAGAAGCCCGGGACTCAGAACCCTTAGCCGTCCCTCTCCACTCTTCTTTGCAGTGGTTAACAGTGCAGTCTCTGCCGTCAGGTAGAACTCGATAGAAATCCTGACTCCTTTCTTTAGGAGCTGGATGACCTTTGGTAAGCTACCTTCTCTAAACTTCAGTTTCCTCCTCTGCAAAACAGGGATAGGGATAGTAACCTTCCTCACAGGGCTGTTGGGGCCATCTGGAGATTGTGTAAAGGGCCTGGCATGGAGTGAGTTCAGTAATTGGCATTTACCATCAGCATTGTTTCTCTCCTTACGTTAAAGAAAGACATGTAGGAGGCTCCACAAAATTAGTAGGCTTGACAGCAGGCCCGCGTCCATGACAGTGTGAGTAGATAGGGGCCCAGAGAGTGGAAAGTTTGGTCGCTCTGGGAATTCTGGCAGAAGGGCCTTAAAGTATGATCAGCCTGAGGCCAGCGTATCCCTCACTTGCATTAGTCCAGCATCGCCTTCACGCCTCCTGTCTGCCTGCAGCCCAGCCTCTTAAATTGCTACCACAGTGATCTTCCTAATGCAAAGGTTTGATCTTATGCTCTGCTCTCCATAAAATTTAACTCCTTCAGACCTTCCCAGACCCCTCCTGTAGCATCTCATGTTCTTTGGTTAGAATCTAGGAGAGGGCAGCCCTTAGGCTCCCACAGAACAGATGGCCCCAGACCAGCTGTTTTCCCCTAGAGCTGGAGCTGTTGGCTTAGCACTTTTGGGTTTATAGATGTAAAAATACTTCGGACATGTTTTGGCATCAACAAGCCATGAAGTCAGTTAATATTATTTCCTTTGGAGCACTTTCGGCAGCGAAGGGCTGGAGCTGCCTTCTGCACAGCCAGGAGGGCAGCCTGGTGGTCCTGGTTCGCATTTCAGCTCCACGTCCTACTAGTTATGTGTCTTTGGCAAGTTACTGAACCTCCTCGAGCCTCAGATTCCTCCACCGTGAAATGGGAACAGCACTAGTGCCTGCCTCCTCGTGGGATTGCAAGGGTTATGAGGTAGCGTTTGGATGTGTGTCCCTGGTACAGTGTGGGTGCTGCCACTGCATTGTTTCCTCTATGGTTTCCCCTCCGTCCCCCTTTCTTTTTTTTTTTTTAAGAGATGGAGTCTGCCCTGTCACCCAGGTCGGAGTGCAGTGGCGCGATCCTATGTCTCCCTTTGCTGTTCCAGGAGGCTGGGTCTTAGAACTGGAAGAAATCTCAGGGACTGTTTTGTCCTGCATCCCTCTGTTGGCATGAGTGCATTCCACTGCTAGCCGATCGTTCCCTGAGGGGATGCTTCTGCCCAAACATCGTAGCCTGTTGGAGGCAGCTGGGATTGTTAGAAAGCACTTCCCTTTCTTCAGCCACAGTAGGCCTTCCTGTCATTTCCGCTCTCAGTTCAGCATTTGCTGTGTCCTGGCCGTGGGATTGTTGTTGGCGCCTCAGAAGTGGCTCGCACGCCCAAGGAGCTGAGGTTTTGGGGAGTGGAGTGAATTTATAAGCAGGTGGTTTCAAAATGATGTGCTGACTGCAGGGCTAGAGCATTGTGGTGGGAACGATACAGAGCAAGGAATCTCACTTCCTCTCTTCAAGAGGATGGCTTTGTGCCTTCACATTTCCTCCAAGAGAAACACTTCCAAGGCCTTCAGTTGTTTCTTCTCCATATTGCTCCTCCTGACTGGCTTTAATTCATCGTCCTTGCCTCTCACAGTGCATGCTCCAGAGGTGAGCTAGAGGTTGTCAAACCCCTCAGAAGATCACGACACTGTGGTCCCCTGAATCCGTTTGCTTCCTATCTGTAGAGCTTCCCTCCAGGCCAACATGGCCTCACAGAGTGACAGTCTTTTGGAGCCCAGAGATCGTCTGTCTTTTGCAATTACTGTTTAATGGTGGAGAAGTGTGTAGGACAGTCATATTTCGTTTCTGAAATTACTTTTTAAAAACTTTTTTTGTTTTTGAGATGAGTCTCCCTCTGTCACCCAGGCTGGAGTGCAGTGGCGCGATCTCAGCTCACTGCAACCTCTGCCTCCCAGGTTCAAGCAATTCTCCTGTCTCAGCCTCCCAAGTAGCTGGGACTACAGGCACACGCCACCCCGCCTGGCTACTTTTTGTAATTTTAGTAGAGACAGGGGTTTCACCATATTGGTTAGGCTGGTCTTGAACTCCTGACCTCAGGTGATCCACCCGCCTCAGCCTCCCAAAGTGCTGGGATTACAGGCGTGAGCCACTGTGCCCAGCCTTTAAAAACTTTTTTTTTTTTCAGTTTAAAAAAATTTTTCATTTTCATATATGGAGACAGAGTCTTACTAGGTTGCCCAGACCGGTTTGAAACTCCTGGGCTCAAGCAGTCCTCCTATCGCAGCCTCCCAAAGTGCTACGATTACAGATATGAGCCACTGCACCTGGCCTGAAATTACTTTTCCCCTGTATTTGAAAATCAAAACCACAGAGCCCATCACTGCTGTGAGCTGACAGAGAAGCTGATGCTGGCACATTAGCTAGCTGGAAGGCAGCTGCAGATCTGGGGTCATTCAGAGCCCTGGGTCTTGTAGGTCAGGCTTGGCAGCCCAAAATCCTCCTGCTGGGAATCCTACCAGCCAGTACCTATGGCTGCCCATGCTGATGGTCGTCTGCCCAGGCCTTTGCTAAAGCTGGTGCTTTGACCCAGAATCTGTCTTCCCTCTCTTTTTCCCAGGCCAGTGATCCCCTCACTCTCTCAATACCCTCTCTTACTTCATTTCATTTGGAAAGGGTCTCTCCTGGGGCTCCCATAAGCACTATATTTTCCTGTTGTCGTGTTTTTGATGGCTTCACTCACTGTCACCGGGGCCTGGGAGGGATGAGGTGCCAAGTGAGCTGAATGGAATCACTTGGCAGCACCGTAGGCCCAAGCCAGAGCTGCTCTGACATCCCAGGCCCAGGCCGTGCCACCCCTCCTCCCATCCAGAGAATGGTCAGCCAAGTCCCACCTAGATCCCCTCTGTGACTTGCTCGTAGGCCGGCAGCCTTCTAAAGGCACCATGTGACTCTCATGTTCAGTAAACATAAAAACATAATTCATTCATAGAATTAATGGGGCTGGGGCCTGGGCCTGGGACAAACATTTTGCTTTTAAACAGAAGGTCTTAAGGGGATCACAGAGAGTGGACGTGAGGGGACTTTTGCTCCCCAGGTTTTACTGTGTGCCTTTTTTGCTCACCACTGACTGAGATCAAAGAAATATAGACATCATCTTAACCCTCAGGAAGTCGTCACGGGCACCCAAGAAACAGTGCTAAAGGGTCTGGACCACCATGGTGGGCCCTGTGCTGGGGAGGCTTCCTGCAGAAGAGCAGCCCAAGCTGGACCTGAAGCTTCAGGAGGGCTCACAGACCCCCGGTGAGCAGCAGAAAGTGCCGAAGTCAAGTCCACGGCCATACCACCTTGAACATGCTGATCCAGAAGCTAAGCAGTGTTAGGTCTGCTTGGAACTTAGATGGGAGAAAGTCCAGAAGTAAAGCCCTGAGGGGGGACAGCAAGTGGCTGGAGGGAAAAGGGGCCTGGCAGGAGGCTGCGCTGTGCTTTTATGGGTGGAGAATGAGATGAAAACCTGAAGAACTGTCATGACGGACAGACGTCAAAGACGCAGGCAAAGTCATTTGGGATTTGATCCTTGGCTTGTCTGCAAGGACCCCAAAGGCCTTTTTTTTTTTTTTTTTTTTTTTTTTTTAAAATACAGAGGAGTTGTGTTTATTTTTGGAATCATTATCTCTTTTCTTTCACCTCTAGATAAGAACACTTTCTGGCCAGGCGTGGTGGATCACGCCTGTAATCCCAGCACCTTGGGAGGCCGAGGTGGGCGGATCACTTGAGATCAGGAGTTGGAGACCAGCCTGACCCATATGGAGAAACCCCGTCTCTACTAAAAATACAAAATTAGCCAAGTGTGGTGGTGCGTACCTGTAATCCCAGCTACTCAGGAGGCTGAGGCAGGAGAATCGCTTGAACCCGGGAGGCGGAGGTTGTGGTGAGCCAAGATTGTGCCATTGCACTCCAGCCTGGGCAACAAGAGCAAAACTTTGTCTCAAAAAAAAAAAGAACCAAGTGTCTTGGTTTCCAAGTGTCTGCTCTATGCCAGGTGCCAGTGCTGTACTAGACCCTGGATTTGAGATCCAGGCCTCTTCGCAGGCCTCTTTCTCTTTGAGTGTCTGTGGTACTTACGCTGTTAACCATGTTCTATCCACATGCCAGGCCCACCAGGAGCTCCTTTCATTATTTTATTAATCCTCACAACCACCTTGTGAAGTAGGGAGAACCCTTAATCCTGTTTTACAGATGAAGAACAGACGCTTATGGGGAGGTAAAGTGTCTTGCCCAAAGTAATTCCAGATCTCAGCTTAAGAGCCTTACTCCAGGGCTTGTGCCTGTCGAGATTTCAGTTGCCATTAGGAGGGGCTGCCTGAATATGATGCCATTTCTAGGAAACAATTAGGGACATGCACAAAGAAAGGAGTGTCCATTAAAGTATTTTTATAACAGCAAAAAATTGGAAACAGCATCATATCCAATAATGGGAGATTTGGTCACCATAAATTATGAAACATTCTATAGCCTCTCTGAAGCCACTAAAAGTAATGGTGTAGAAATATATAAACTGACAGGGAAAAATGTTCACAATATATTGCCGAACAGAAGAAAGCAGATTACAAACAATATGATTCCAATTTTATTAGATACTCATTTTCTACTTTTTCTACAGTGAGTATGCATTACTTGTGAAGTAATACTAATTTCAATTTATGGAACTCTTTCCTTCTGCCAGGCACCATGCTAAGCCCTCTATAGCTATTATCTTATTTAATTCTTTGTATCATTATCCCCATTTCACAGATAAGGAAATTGACGCTTAGAGAACTTGATTAAGGTCCGTGTCATAGTTATTAAGTGGCAGAGGCAGAGATTTGAACTGAGATATGATTTTGTACAGTATGTACTCTTAGATACTATGCTACTCTGCTCTGCTCTTCTTTTAAAAAATAAATAAAAAATAAAGTAATTTGACTGGGTGCAGTGGCTCACGCCTGTAATTCCAAACACTTTGGGAGGCCGAGGAGGGTGGATTGCTTGAGCCCGAGAGTTTAAGA